AGAGGGGCCTGGGGGCGGGGCCTCGCTCAGGGGACCGGGCTGGGGGCGGAGCCTCTCGCGGGAGACCGTCCTCTGGGCGGGGCCTCGCGTAGGGGCCGGGCCGGGGGCGGGGCCTGCGCGGGAGCTGAGCCTTGGGAAGATGTGTGTGGATGGGGTTCTAGACCAGGATGCAGGTGTGCGGTGCAGAGGGGTGTCGGGTAGGAGGCTGCGCGGAAGGAGGAGACCAAATCACACAGGCTGTAATCACAACGCCGAATTGCACAATTGGGCCTGCTAGAACCACACCCGAGGCAAAATTTCTGGAAAAGCTCCTATGTCCTTTACCAATTGTAAAATCAGTGATTCGTTTTGAAATGTAGGGTTCACTAGGCCGTATTCTACTTAAATATACAGAGATCTTTTTAAACGTCAGAAAGTAATGCATTTCCACCTTTGATATGTTTTCTTTACATGTCAACAAGCAGAAATTGAGTGAATACAATTACCCTATGTTGCTGTTCTGTAACTCGCCAGCCATTGTGAGAGGTTTATCTTCATTCCATATTTTATTGTCCTCAGAAAGCCTTGAGGACCAAGCAATCCCACAGTTTGGTAGAGAAGGAAAAGGAAACTGCACTTAGCAAAGTGAAGTGGTAGTGCTAGCATTTACATCTAATGAAGGACCTGCTCCCCTACCCACCCTCCCAGCTACACTAGATAGACTCTTTGAAGAGCTTGTGGGTTTGCCTGTTAGAGGGGGGAGAAAAAAAAAAAGCCAGGTGGCAGTGATTCACACCTGTAATCCTAGCTACTCAGGAGGCTGAGATCTGAGGATCGCTGTTCAAAGCCAGCTCAGGCAGTAAAGTCCATGAGACTCTTAATCTCCAATAAACTACCAGAAGCCAGGAAGTGGTGCTGTAGCTCAAGTGGTAGCATGCTTGCCTTGAGCTGAAGAGCTGAGGGACAGTGCCTAGGCCCAGAGTTCAAGCCTTACAACTGACAGAAGAAAAAAAAAGAAAAAGGATTGTTATTGTTTTTTGGTCCTGGGCACTGACCCTCAGTTCTTCAAGTAAGGCTAGCACTCTACCACTTGAGCCACAGTACCACTTCCTGTTTTTTCTGCTAATGTGGTGCTGAGGAATACAAACCCAGAGCCTCATGCTTACAAGGCAAGCATTCTACCACTGAGCCAACTTCCCAGCCCTAGTTTGTTATTGTTATATTTAGCCTAAGTATTCTTTTTTGCCAGTCCTGGGGCTTGAACTCAGCACCTCAGGCACTGTTCATGAGCTTCTTTTGCTCAAGGCTAGCACTCTACCACATGAGCCAACAAAGCTTTTTATGTTTATATGGTTCTGAGTAACCGAACCCAGGGCTTCATACCTGCTAGGCAAGCACTTTACCACGAAGCCACATTTCTAGCCCCTGAGTATTCTTTAAAATTCCATTTCAATGTAAGTTTATCAGAGCCCAATGTGTTTCTGGTCATGAAAAACCCAAGAATTCAATGCACTGATGCCCATAGCATCTGCTATCAGCTAGATAATAGAACTTCCATTCCACAGAGACATAGGACATCTTTATTACTGGTATTGGTATGCACAGATGTCTTTAAGGTTCTGACTCAATACCTTCCATTGCCTAGAATTAAAACAATCATGCTCTGTCAAAAATACAGGCCTGTTTTCAGAATCATATGTGGTAGGACAGACTAGGACATGGTATGATCAATTGTAAAATTCTTGGCTGCCTAGTACCTGAATGTTTATTCACACAAGGTTCAGTGAGGATCAGTTCTGTGTTCAGGACACGTGCCCTCTCCTTGTGTGGGTGACTCAGAGACACAAGCTGCGCCATCTTTGGACTCCTCCATTTCAACTCCAGACCCTTCCTCACAGTGGCTGCTGAACAGAGACCTGACAACCACAAGTGTCATTTCAGCGTATCTGTCCCCAAATGACTTATCACCTGACTCTGCCCACCTGCAAGGGCAGCCAAGAAATGGTTTTGTGTGCACTTGGAAGGAGAGCACTAGTAATGTCTCCATAATAATCCACATTTTCCCTGTCTTTTGTACAGGCATAGAAATAGTCATCTTGAAATAGAATTCTATTCCAGATGAGCTCCAGGTGCAAAGGGCCCCCCCTCTCTTTTCTCAGCATGCTCCTAACACAAAAACATATATTTCTCCAGCTCTTCCCCCATCTCCCTGTGTATGGTGTAAGGGAAGGAGGAAAATAAACACCACAGGTTCCAACTCACTGAACTCTCCATCTTGGCCTTTACTTCCCTAATTTCATCTCTCCTTCCCGCACCCCAGGTCCCCCTTTTTTTTCCCTAGCAAATGTCAAAGACTGTTGGAATCTGAAAATTCTTCTGAATGAAGAGAGAAACGGTACCTATACAAGCCTAGCCACTTGTTTGGAAAGTGCTTGTTGTCAGTGATTGTCCTATCACTATCCATGGAAGTTTTAGGGAAAAAGCAGAATAGGAAGTATGTTTTATTTTTGTACTGGCACTGAAGTTTGAACTCAGGGCCTGGACACTGTCTTTTAGCTTTTCACTAAAAGTTGGCACTGATGGCTCACACTTGTAATCTAAGCTACTAAGGAGGCTGAGATTTGAGGATGAAAAGTTCAAAGCCCAGCCCAGGCAGGAAAAATTCTGAGACTCTAATTTCCAGTTAGCCACCAAAAAGCCAGAAATGGACTGTGGTTCAAGTGGTAGAGTGCCAGCCTTGAGAGAAAAAGGAACAGCACCCAAGCACTGGGTTCAAGCCTCAGTACTGGCACCAAAATACAAAAGAAACAAAAGAATGTAGTGGAATTATTAACTTCCTCTTGCTTCTGGTTTCCAAAGTGTTTTAAATAACTACTTACATGGATTACCACATGCAGGTATTGTGAGAACTGAAAGATGTCCGAAGCAGGATTCTGCCCTTTCAAGAATAGAAAATAAGAGCTGGAGCTGGTGCCTCACACCTGTAATCTTAGTTACCAGGAGGCTAAGATCTGAGGTTCTCGGTTAGTTCAAAGTCAGCCTGGGCAGGAAAGTCTGTCAGACTTATCTCCAATTGACCACTCAAAAACCGTTACTGGAGCGGTGGCTCTTAAGTGGTAGAACCCCAGCCTTGAGCAAAAGAACTCAGAGATAGTGCCCAGGCCCTGAGTTTAAGCTTCATGACAAGAAAACAACAACAACAAACCCCCCCTGAAAACAAGCAAGGTTACAAGGAACCTCTGGACAGCGTGCACAAGGCCCTGGGTTTGCCCTGCAGGACTGAAAAAAAAAAAATGACTTGATAATCACACCCATAAAAAGGAACAATCCAAAAAGGGACCAGTGACAGGGAAGTAGCCATGCAGCAGCACACATCAGTGTCACCGTGGTTCTTGAGCATTCTGACGACCACCAGGTCAAAGCCCTCTGCCGTGAACCCCGCCTGCGAACAGTCCCGGGTTTGAACTCGCGGAGGGAGGCGCTTGCTCGGGAGCGGCTTTACCCGTGAGCCACGCCCCCGGCCCCTTTTCCTCCTCCGGCCCCGAGCTCCGACCCAGGCCTGGCCAGAGGTCGGGACCGCAGCTCCCCCCGGCCCCCCGCCAGCGCGCCCGGCCTCCG